CTCATCATTGAAAACAATTTCCTCTTAAAATGTTTGATTTTCAATGTTAAAAAAGTGACTGTGGATGATTTTGTGGCAGATAATTATCAGTAGGTCAATGGCAGAACAAAATACAAAAATGTTTGTTGGCTATGTTTGTTGGCTAACAAACGGCTATTGACACTGATTCAGGGGTCGTAGTCTTTACTGTTACCTATTAAATGATTCGTTTTTGTCACCTTATTCCACCATGATTAAGGCATAGTTAATAAAAGTTTTCGCTTCTATTTTTAAATTAGATTTTGCTATATTTATGTTCGCTATTTCCTCCGATTAAAGGATAAACAAACACCACTTCATTTAGCGGTTGTAAAAGGACATACGGAAATTGTTGATCTACTTCTTCGTCGTCATGCTGACAAAAACCTAAAGGATAAAGTGAGTATCAAGTTTGAGATAAGCAGGAGGTRCTAATGAATATGGATGGTAATTTACGTACTTTCAATTTAACTTTTACCTGCCAAAAACATTGGCAGAAACAGTGAGAAACATTGCTTAGGGACACTGGGGAAACCTGTTTGATGTTCAACGAAACCTCGTACGTGTGTTGAGTATGTCTGTTAGTCTCCCCCGCAGCCCTCTGCCCGCAGCCGTTCTCAGTGTTGTCACRCAACGCTCCCTTTTAATTATAGAGGATATTACACGGTGGCTTGAAGATATGTAGTTTTTCTTCGGATGGTGAAAAATATTTAACACGAGAAGATAAACTTCATTTATAATATGACCCGTATCTGCCCGGGCGCGCGCTCTTAAAAAAGCCTTCGGGAAAATGGCGTGAGCAGGGACTTACGGCTTTGAGCGAAACCTGCGACCGTATTTATTTTATTGTTTTTMTTTTCGTGAGGGTCATATGATAAAATGCTTGTTGACTGAGTTAGTTCAKGCCGTATGGGAAAATATTTGGCTCTCGGTCATTTGTACGGACCTCGTTGCGCTCGGTCCGTACGGCATCTCCTCGAGCCAAATAATTTCCCGTACGGCCCTCCCACTCAGTCAATAAGTACATAATTTTCAAGCTAACAAGCGGGGAAATATCAGAAGTGACATCATCGATATCTTCATATATGTGAGAACATGAATAATGTGTTAATGAGAACCAAGTCTAGCCGTTCTTAGTGTCGTCATACATGTCARAAAGGATCGTTGAGTGACGACACTTAGAACGGCCAGAATCGTACCCAGTCATCACTCACGGTTTTTCTTCCTTCCTTCCCTTGATGCACCSCGAACTCACTAAATCTTTCCTATCAATCTCAGCGTGAGATCAATAAGAGAAGAGAAGCGACTGGGTACGAGTCTGAAGAACGTATGCGGGGGAGACTACTGAGGTCCCGGATGTAGCTCATATGAAAAATACGAGTGGCTTACTTCACAGTAAAACACTGGTGTCTATATAATCAATATAATTATTGTCGTTTACTGATAGGCCATTTTGCAACGACAGGTCACGTGACCCTAACCCCGTACAAAGAGACGTTGTGTCAAAGTGAACACCAGAATTAAAAAGAGCACCTTGATATTAGTAAGAAGGCAAAGTTTCATCGTATAACATGTAACACAGGAGAAACGGCTTTAAATATAAAATCGRATATTTTATAAAGATTKGTATGGGAAAATATGCTGGATGGCAACATGGCAAACTTTGCCATCCTAATAAAATATTTGATTGTATATTCAATGCCATTTCTCCTATAGTCAACATCATTCATAAACTAACACGATTTCTAGTATTTATGTGGGGGTTGGGTCACGTGACTAGTTGTTGCAAATGGCCTATTGGACATCTTATTAAATAAGAAAGTCTTTCTTTCATATGTAAAGTAAACTTTATTGATTTTCKTTTTTGATACTTTTATATTTTTGTTTTTAGAATGGATTTACTCCATTATGTTTTGCTAAAAGAGGGGATAACGAGGAAATTGTCAAATTACTGAGCAAATCTTCAAGAAAGGTACATGATATGATGATAATTGTTAAATATATWAGATATGGAAAGGTTTTTTTCTGTTTTTGGTGGTGGTGGGGGGTGGGGAGGTGATAACGTCCATGGCATCTTTGGGGAGTTTATCGCGTTTTTAGAATTCTAATTTTCCTTTCACATACAGCGAGATAAAGTTGGCCAAGGGGAGGATGTCGTACCTGACTCAGGTAGGTGTATCACTTGTCTTGCTAGGCTAATGATTACACCTTTTCCCCTTTCATTCGTTCACTTATCCATTTGTCCTTCCTTCCTCTCTCCTCTCCTCTCCTCCACTTCCCTTCCCTTTCCTCTCTTTTTCTTTAATTTATTGACTTCCCTTCCATTTAATTCCTTATTCTCTTCTCTTCCCTCCCTATTTCTCTTTTCATATTACACTTCGTTTAATATGCAGCCCGTAACTGAAGTCCTCCACTGGTTATAATTGTAAAGCGCATTGAGACCATGTGAAATGCGCTATATAAGAACCCCATTATTGTTAAATATTATTAAATAAAATGTCGAGCCTCAAATATATAAACTCAAATAAAACCATACTTATTGGGAGTTGAATTATTGTTTTTGAATAATAATTAAAGTTGTTATACTCGATCGAAATGATTTGTTTCATTCTCTGGTTAGATCCTTATTTTCAGCATTCATTCATATCTTTCTTCATTTATTACCTTTTTTCCCTTCCATTTTTCTACTTCAATCCTGTCATTTTTCCCACCCCTTGACAAAACACTTACTAAACATACCTCACATCTATCTACCTATTAACCTATCCACTCACTAACTAATCTATCCATCCATCTATCCTAAACACAAAGACGAGAAGCTAGAAGCCTTAGATGAAAGAGTAACAGGATTGGAAAAAGAACAAGAAAGTTGTCAAAAGAGGGTCGAAACTGTGGAAAACAAAGTAAGGACTCAGGGCTGCAAAAACTTATCTTATTACGTATCAAGCGGGGTTTCGGTCATGGGGGGGGGGGGGGGATGTACCATTTTCCCGCCAATATACACGTGTACACCATATTTCATCTTTAGAGTTTCTCTTTATATCTACAGGTTTTTTTGAGGGAGGGGGGGGGGGGGGGCCGGGGGGTGGCCTCCTATTGCAACGCCATTGTACAAGTATGAAAT